CACATGAAGCAAGAAAAAATAGCCAAAGAAAATTGAATGTAAGTTATGAGGATTGTATGGGATCTGCCTTCTGCCACTTGTTGAGCCTCTCAAAATGGGGCTTTGGAAAAACTGTTAGATACAATAATAAAAAGAATATAAAATTTGGATTTCAAAGCTATTGCTAGCAGTACTGTAATGCCAACGTGAGACAGATCATGTGTTCCCTTCCTTAAAGGACACAGAAATGTGTTTACATATTGTTAATTTTATTGGGTCTTTGAGAATTCTTTGCACTCAACAATGCTAAGATAAACAGTACTTCCTTCTTTTAATGAGCAAAGTAGTGTTTATCATTTCAACAATTTAAATATAACACATTCCTTTCAAACCCTGGATTAATTAGGATGTTTCATGATGACTTGCAGTTTGCAGAACACTTTCCCACACAGTCCATTCATTCCTCCCTTGTGCTGTGAAGTCATTAGCACCTCTATTTCACAGGGGAGAGAACAGAAGTTCAGAAAGTGTCACTTGCCTTGGAGACTTTTTTTTTTTTCAATTTCATTTCTTTTTTTTTCCACTCACATTCAGTGAACTTTTTCCAATATGACTGAGATAAATGAATCGAGATGCACCACTCTGGGGACTTCGGGCATGGGAGCGTAAGTCTAGACTTTCTCTGTTTATTCTCCTCCATTATTACAATGCTTTGCTTATTAGTCTTAAAAGTTCTGTGGCTTTTTAGTTTTTAAATCAAAATTTGCTAAAAGAAAATATAGATTTTAATTAATATACCACCCCTGACCCTGTTCACTATGTCAAAACATGGAAAGCTGTGGACTTTGTCATTACTGCCTTTTATTATGCATTAATCATATACCTTGCCTTCATTCAAAGAGATGCCTTTTTAAAACCACCGAATTAATCTTTGACCGAGTTTCCTGGCTTGCAGGCTCTCTCAAAGGAAAGGAGACTTCTCTTGTGAGGTCACCAAATCCTTCCATTCCGAGTCATCTGTGGGGATTCAGTTACCTATGGTCTAGATTCCTATCTGGATTTACCAGGGCAGCAGATTAAATTAAAGGGCCTCGGGGAGGTGATTCTAGTATCTCATCTTTAGCTCCATTTTGCCCAAGCCTTTTCCTCCTTTTTCTGGTGATGATGTCATAGTCCTTCGGCCACCTCTGACTTGATTTGCAGCTCAAGTTATCCTACGTGAGCACAGACTCACCTCAGTCTGACAGCCTGTTATTTCAAGAACATGCTGCCCGCCCTTTTGCTTTCTGACCAGAACTTCTCCAACAGCACAGGAAAGAGCTGGACTTGAGCACAAGGACAGCCCAGAACTACAGGAGAGTCAGTGACCCCCAAGGATGACTCTCAACCAATGGGAGCCAGAGACTGGTTATTAAACATTCCAGTCCCTGATCCCTTCACTGACAATTCTCTATGCTACTCCCAAGGGCATCAAGCTCACGTTGCTCATAGCAGTGATCAGGATCACTCACCTCACATTGATTCCCTTCCTTCGCTATCTCATCACCTCAGTCCCTCACATCTGCTCCCCCATCACCTCTCATATAAAAACTGCCTGCACACCATCCTTCCTTCAGGCTCTGCTTTTTTGGATTAATCATTTCTATGGGTGGAGATATTCCCCTTTATCTTAGGCAAAACCTTTGAAGAATGAAGAGCCCATGGCTGAAAGTTATCATTGAAAAGGTCTTTAGTGTCTCCAGCACCCATTAGTGAGTGCTCAACAGTATTTGTCTTCAATAGAGGTCACCTTCCCAGTGTCTTCAGGTTGGGATTTAATTATGGCTCTATACTAACCTGCAATGAGAGGGACCATGCCCAAGGCCACCTTGAATGGACCAGTCAAGTCATGTACAAAGTGAGTTCCACAGAGTCACCACTTCCTGACATGGGCAACTACAACATTTTGTAGACTCAAATGTTAAAACTAAGCCAGGTGCGGTGGCATACACCTGTAATCCCAGCTACTGGGGAGCTGATTCAGGAGGATCGAAAGTTCTAAGGCCAGCCTCAGCAATTTAGTAAGATCTTCAGCAACTTAGTGAAACCCTATCTCAAAATAAAAAATAAAAAAAAGGTCTGAGGATGTGGCTCAGTGGTAAAGCGCCCCGGGCTAGATCCCCAGTACCAAAATAATAATAATAATAATAATAATAATAATAATAATAAGAAGAAGAAGAAGAAGAAGAAGAAGAAGAAGTTAAAACTAGATGGAGGTCCCGAAGTTACTAGCCTAACTATCCTATTTTACCAACGGAACCGGAATGAGCTATTCCAGCTGCACAGGTGGCTAATGGAAGAGCAGGTCCAAAGTCAGACTAGACTCTAGACTTCCTACTGCCCTCAGTAAGAAGGGGAAGACAAGGTCCCTCCAAGTCCAGACTTGAGGACTTTGCACTTGCTATTCCCTCTTTCCAGAACGTTCTCAGCTCCTAGTCTTTCAGTCTGAGTTAAATTGTCAATTCCTCAAAAGCTTTCCCTTACCACATCAGATAGGGCAGCCCATCCTCCTGTCCCAATGACATTGTCCCATGTTGTTGTTTTCATAACACTTACCATGACCTGATATTATTTCATTTATTTACTTACTTACATGTTTATCGTGAGCCCACTCTCCATCAGGATCTTTTCTAATTCTCTACTCCAATACCCAGCTGTTCATCAGTGCTCAACATTTGAATGGACAAAGTGATAGTTCTCCCATACTCTATGCCATAAACCTCACTCACCATTATTGGAACATGATGACTAGTTTTGAGTACACAGACTATTGGAAAAGAGTCCAGGTTTCTGGTTAGTTGGACCCATAGATTAACCCTTCTGCACCTCTGGCATAGCTTAAGATCCAGAGTGATAAGTTAGGCCCTGAGGCTACTCATCCATGAGCAAAGTCTTTTTTCCTTATGTGTTCCACACTAAACTCAGGGAAGGGGTGGTCAAAGAATTCATGTGTCATCAAGACACACAAAAAGATGGAGAAGAGGAAGGAAGGAATCAATCATCCTCCCCTTTGGCCTACCTCTAGCCCAGATGTGTTGAGTAGAATAAGACTGAGGCCATAGAGGAAATGTATTTAGAAAGAATGCTTTAGGTCTGGCTCTATAGCTTAGTGGGGCAAAGCTAATCACACATGGTGATTAGCTTACCAGAAGAGGGGACCAGATAAAGAGGTGAAGAAACTGCTCCATCCAGCACTAGCAGCCATACATTGCATCTCAGGCACCTTGTACTACACATTTGCAGAAACCTTAGATGCAGTGTTAGGAAACAGTGAGAATGATGTAGCCAAAGAGAGAGGAGGGGAGCACAATGCAGAAAGCAGGAGTCTCACTGCATCCTGAGCAATCATTTTCAGGTGCTTCCAGCCAGAAAGCACCTTCAACGGCCTTTTCTCTATTCACTGACATCTTTTTCACCTCCTGGCTGCTCAGGTGAACTTACGACCTGGTGCTCTTGCTTACAACTGGGCTAGTTCGTAAGAGACACCTACCACTTCCTCCCCGTGTGCAAACTGGAGCCGCACAGATTGGTTTAATAATGTTCAGACTGGGAGATTGCAACACGTGTTGTAAAATTTTAGAGCAGGAAATGGCAGTTTTTATTTGAAAAACCTTCTTAAGTGGAATTTTCCTTAGTCTTTAGTAAGTACTAATTGTTCTAATTTTGTTGTGAGTTATGATTGTTAGAGCAATAATTAGGAAGCTGTCTATACAACGTTTTTTCTAAAGAGCTAAAGGAAAGCAGACCAGAAGCAAAAGGTCAAGTGGCCAGACATCGAGGCAGGGCCTCCCACAGCCCTTGACTGCATCTACAGGCTAAAGAAATAAGAGCCAGTGGGTACGAGGAAAACTGGATTTCATAAGTAATTACTGCCACCTTTGGTCTCACTGAGAGTCACTGATCAACATCTCCTTATTTCATCAACCTCTTTCCCCCTACTTGTATAACTTACTACTGCATTGCTATATATCGAGTAGATTCAAGGATTAATGAAACATGGTCACTATCCTTAGATGCCCTTATACTATATTGCAGGCAGACATGTAAATAGGTAATGCAAATAATGACCTAACAACCCATTACACAGTAAAATGATAGTGACTAGGAGGGTAATAGAGTAAACTATAGTATCTCCTAGGGATATCTGAAACCAAATATGGGATCATACCTCAACACACTGAACTTGTGGGAATTTCAAGTGCCCCACATTTTCACAGTCATAGTCTACCATGGTTCATATATCAAGGTCAGATGAAGACTGGGAATATCCTGGCCTCCCAGCAGTGTTCTTATACAGAAGGGAATAGTTTTAAGTGTGGCAGGAAGGCTGCCTGCCCCACCCAAAATATTGCCTCATTTTGACTCTGCTTATATTCTCAATTGAAACCTTTTATAAGGAGATGTTTTTCGTACATGCATAAAGTGGAGCAATATACCATTTTATGGTACCATCTAGTTACAGATCTACTGGAAACAACTCAGAACAATTTGTCCTTAGTCCAGTTTCAATGACTAATCCCAACACTGTGCCATAGATTCCCCCAGCACGGGAGGAATGGTGGAAAGGAAACCTACTGCAGAGCTGTAATCCAAGTCTTTAATAAATATAATATTAAACCATACAAATCATGATTTCATACTTTATACCTGCTATAATAATATTAGAATTAGCCCTAGAGTTACTCCCAGCTCTGTTAATTATCTAGCCTCATGGCCTTGGGCAAGTCCCAAAGCTCTTGCAGTCCTCATCTATTTAAAAAGAAAGAAAAAAAAAAGACAATTTGGTTCAATGAATCCAAGGTCCGCTCTGCCTCCAACTTGGCAGGGTAGCTAACATTTATTGAGTACTTAAAAGATTAAAAGGAACAAAAACATTTTCTTGACTCTCTGTTGAACTAATTATCTCAGGGGTTTTTTTTCCTTGTGTACTTCCAAATGGTAGTTTCTTTTTTATGGATATTTAAGTCAACTTGACAACTTACCAAATAAATTTTCAGAAAGAGAAAAGTCATCCATGGCTGGTATATGGGAGTGTTCAATAAGATTCATTTTTGTTCCCATTCAAACTTTTCAATTTGAGAATGCACTTTCATCATGGTGGTCTTCAAATAAAAACCCTGAAAGGCAAATACATAGACAGTGTGCAAGGTGGATATGGAGCTGGTTCACAGACATGAGGAAGGAGAGGGAAGTCTGATTTACAAAAGTACAAATGGCTCCTTTGTAGACATTTTGCTATAGCCTTTCTCAACATTTATCATGCTTACACCTTATTTGGACTTAAAAATGTCCAAGATGTATGCTTTCAGAAGAGATACTCTTAGGTATCTAGGGAAACACCATATGTTTTCATTTAAATTTCAGCAATTGGAGATTTGAACAGAATATATGACATTTTAGTTATGACTTGCTTTTACATTTAGAAAGAAAAACAGAAACAAATATAAAAGCTTTGATTAATTATTAAATATAAATATAAAAGCTTTGAGATCAATTATTATCTGTGTGCGGTGGTGCATGCCTGTAATCCCAGAGGTTCTGGAGGCGGAGGCAGGAGGATTGAGAGTTCCAAGACAAGCCTCAGCAAAAACAAAGCACTGGGATTGGGATTGTGGCTCAGCAGTAGAGCGCTCGCCAAGCACAGGTAGGACCCGGGCTCGATCCTCAGCACCACATAAAAATAAAGGCATTGTGTTGTGTCCATCTACACCAAAAAATAAATATTAAAAAAAAAAAAAGCACTAAGCAACTCAATGAGACCCTGTCTTTAAAATAAAATACAAAGTAGGTCTGGGAATGTGGCTTAGTGTTTGTGTGCCCCCAAGTTCAATCCCCAGTAACAAAAAAAAAAAAAAAAAATGGATCCATGGTTTATTATCTTAAACTTTATTTGAAAGTTGACCAGGTTTGTGTAAACATACAACAGTAGTAAAATACTTCCTGCTGAAACTTTCTTGATAATTTGTGCATGGTCAGCACATCAGAAATTCAGAAAGTGTTCCCCCAAGATCTTCTTTATTTCTGCCTTTTAGTGGGAGTTTCAGGGACTTGCATTTTCACTCTCATGTTTACCTGGGTAATATTTTAGAATAGGGTAAAAGGAGGTTATGGTAAGGCTGGGGGTGTAGCTCAGTGTTAGAGCACTTGCCTACATGTATGAAGCCATGGTTCACCCTCCAGTAACACAAAGAAGAAGAAAAAGAAAGAGATTATTGTAAAAAGAAAACTAATGGTAAATCTCACCGAAATGTCTGAAGTTTCATCCTGAGGAAATTTCCAGACTAAGTCCAAGAGAAGCAGTGCTCACTTTGAGTTGATATCACTAAGTCTTCTTTTCTTCTTTCCTTCTTCCCAAGATGTTCTCTACCTCCTAAGAAGTAATTTGAAAGATCGAATGATGAAAGGTGCGCTGGTTTCTGAGGATGATTTTCAAATCATTTTATCCTATCTCTACCAAGAAATCATTTTGTTTACCAAGAAATATTTCTATTTATTACCCAAAAAGAAAACATCAGGGTTTTGTTGAACAAATATTTATTTCATTAGAATTTCCCCCCCTATTTGGCTTCTATTTCTCTCTTACTCATCAAATGTCCCCGCTCGCACAGAAGTCAATTTCAGATACATCTGGCTTCTGTTAAGGTAGTCCACCAGAAGCCAGTTTTCTTCATTTGTTTGTTTATTCGTGCTTTAAACATCATTTACTGAGCACTTATTCTACCATAAACTACTTACTGGATCTTTGGAAATAAAATGGTGACAGTGGAAAAAAGAAATCTGTGATCCTTGATATCAAGCTTATTGAGGAATAGACATTGAAAAAGTAACATGAACACTCAGATGATTACATAGTGTCCTGAACACTGGTTACTAAGGCAAAGAACAGGGTGCTCTAACAGAGAGCGTAGGTGTGAAAAGACAGGGATAGGGAAGTAGCTGGAAGATGACATGGTTTCAGGGTCCTTTTAAAGATGGGCAATACTGGTAACATCTGAATTGTGAGAAAATACTAGAGAGGGAGTAAAGAAGCAAAAATGAGAGTCCCCTGAGAAGGGACACAAGCTGTGTCCCCTGGGGGAGAATCAGACAGGCCTGGGTCCATAATAAGCCACCCGTGTAGCCCTATAAACTCTACTGAACTCGATTATCAGACTCTACGAAGACAGGCTGCTTGCTGGGACAAAACTCATTCTAAAGTCAGGGGGTGCTAGGAACCCTGATTTTTCATCCCAGAGCACAACCTCAGTCATTAAAGAAATGCATAATTCTCAGTGTAGCTGTGTTTGACTCTGGATGTTTTTCTACCACCCAGAGGAGAGAAGACCTATAAATAAAAATGAAGCTTGGAAACACTGAAGTATAAGGCAGACTCTTCCACAGAACACCACGAGTAAGAGAGATGGTTCATCTCAACCCCACCCTTATCTTCAAATAACTCGGCTATATAGTGTGGTGGAACTTTGAACCCAAGAGAGCCCAGGGCCTTCCTGGGGCAATTGTGAAACAGAAGCAGCATCACAACCCATAGAGAAGCACCCAGCAGAGTAACACAACTAACTACTGGGTGAATGGTGCACTGCCCACCCCACCCCCCAACAAAGCACAGTGGGAGGAGAAGTCAGAACAAACTTGATTATGAGCCTACAGAGACCTCAGGACACTTCTGAAGTGTTTGGAGGTTGTTAGTGGGAGGAGAAGCTCCGATAGGGAGCTGGAGGTCCTGAGGGCAATGCCAGTGACAGTTGAGTTGTGGCTCATAATGGGATCTTATTCATACTCACAAACTAGTCTGAGACTAGAGATATTCAAGTTTCAATACATAAATACCAATTGTATAAGTATGGATATGAACACACATATGAATCACATATACTAAATATATATATATATATATATATATATATATAGCTCTGTATGTATGTGTATATGTGTGTGTGTATTAGCTTATTTAATAAATAAGTTAAAAGCCCTCCAAAACTTAGGCCACTACTGCTCTACATAGTTTCCCCTATTTGTGGATTAGGAAATTCTACAATGAAAAGTAAATAATGATTTTTCCTAATATCCAACCCAAATTTATATCCTATAGCTTAAGTCCCATTTCCTCTGGCCTTTAAAAAAAATGGGGAGGGGCTGGGCGTGGTGGTACAAGCCTGTAATCCCAGCAGCTCAGGAGGCTGAGTCAGGAGGATCATGAGTTCAAAGTCAGCCTCAGCAAAAGTGAGATGCCAAGCAACTCAGTGAGACCCTGTCTCTAAAAAAATACAAAATAGGGTGGGGGATGTGGCTTAGTGGTTGAGTCCCTGAGTTCAATTCCCAGTACCCCCAAAATAAATAAATAAATAGATAAATAAATTATATATATATATATATATATATATATATATATATATATATATATATGTAGGGGATGTAGCTCAGCAGTAGAGTACTTGCCTAGCATGTACAAGGCTCTGGGTTCTATCCCCAGCAACACACACACACACACACACACACACACACACACACACATACACTGAAAGAAAGAAAAAGATTATATATCTGTAACTTTTGATTTTAGGTTTCCCTCTGTGCTTTTCTTTCCTTGAATGATTTTTTTGTTTAATTTTTGTAAGAGAGAGACTCTTTGACTACACTGCCCAGGCTAGTCCCAAACTCTTGGGCTCACCTGTTCCTCTTACCTCAGCCTTGTGAGTAGCTAAAACTATAGCAGGCACCTTTGTACCCAGAATCTCTCTCTTTTTTTTTTTAACCTTGAACAATGTTCATAAACCTTTCCCATACTTCAACTCTCTAATATTTTCAAGGTATACTCATTTTCATTTTGGATTCCTGTAATATTCATATAAACTTGGCACTTTAAATTCAAGTGCTTGGCACACAATAGGCCCCAAAGAAATGTTGGCTCACTTAAATTATCTGTATTTATTGCTTTTCTTGCTTAGTTCTGCCAAATCCATGACATTTGGCATGCTCTTCCTGGAAAAAAAATGACATAAGATAAGGATTTCATTCTTTCATTGCATAAGCTTTAGGATAATTTATCATTTGCTCACCCAAGTGAAAGTCCAATTCCCCTAATTCTGAATCATTCAGATGATTATCCCTGGCAGGAGACCCACCACGTTTGTGCCCTTGAAAGCTAGCAACAAAACTTTTAAACCCAGATAGCTACAAAGGGTTCACTCAAACCAGTTTCAATAGATTTACAAATCCTGAACGTTTTTTTTTTTAAAGGAAATTCTTTCATTTTTGAAGTGATAGCACAAATAAATGGTATTTTAGTCTGTTTTGTGTTGCTATAACAAAACACTTGCCTGGATATCTTATTAGGTAAAGAGGTTTATTTGATTCATGGTTCTAGTAGCTGGAACATGGCACTGACATTCTGGCAAGGGCCCCTGTCTGTATCACAACAGGGGGAAGAAATGGAAAGGGATATTGCCACATGCAGATTGGGCCAAGTACATGGAGTGGCCTTGCTAACAACCTATACTTGGAAGAAGCAGTTTACTTTTTGAAACCAGCATTAATCCCTTCTGCTATGTTCCACCTCTTTTTTTTTTTCTTTAAGAGAAACTGGATTTAATTAAATAAAAAACTTCTGTGAAAAAAAAAAATACCAGGAAAGAGAAAAGAATATTTTAACAGGATTTTTGTTTGTTTGTTTTGGAAGAGCTATTGTAACCCAGTTTTTTTTTTTTCTTTCTACCTCTTAAAGGCTCCACCATCTCTTGACATTGATACACTAGATCCAAGCTTTTAGCCCATGAATCCTAAAGGAGACACACTCAAGTCATATCCAAACCTTAGCACATAGCAAGTAATTTAAGCAGTATACTGGAAAATAAATCTTCCCAGCTCAATCACCCATTACACTAACCAAAATACAATGAGAGTGGCCAGTTTCCTGTGTCTCCTTCCAGATACTAAGTCTGTTTTTCACATAAAGAGACTCTTAAGTACTATATCTGATAAGAAGTTCACAAACTTATCTGCTGCTATTTTTGTGCCACCTGTGAGTTTAGGATGGTTTTAAAATCAAAAGAAGTATGTTTTTTGGCATGTGAAAGTTATATTAATTTTAAAATCTGGTGTCCATAAAGACTTATTGGTACATAGCCACACTCATTTTTGATGGCATGTGTTTATATGCTGTCTCCCCACAATGTCAGAACTGAGTAGTTGCAACACAAGATTGCATGACCTGGGAAGCCAAAGATATGTATTACTTATCCCTTTACAGAAAAAAAAATAAAATAAAATGTGCTAAACCATGTCTTAAAGAACAAAAGGGCTTAGAAAGAATCAAAGTATAGGTAAACTGAGTGTAAAGATTGCCTTGGGAATATAAATCTGATTAATTATATACATATCATTACAGTAAAATCTTCTTTACCTCTAACAGCGTCTTACTGGGATTATCAGCTTTACGCTATTTGAAGTGTTTCTATATACCCATCTCTTTACTTGGGGTTATTTGTGTGTCCTCTTTTTTCCAATATTCTTCTTACTAGGGAAAGAACTTTAAAAGAAAAGTAATTCCTAGGATACCCCAGACTTGAACCCTGGAGTCTTTATTTTCCCTTTAAATCCTCCCTTCCATAAAAGGAGTCATTTTACAGATTGAGAATAAGTAATGGTTATTCTTTATATTAATGGTCTTCAAATAGTTTTACTCACTTTCTCCCTAAAAGAAGTTTGAAAAATAGTATGCTCCTTCAACACATTTTTGGAGGGTTGACATCTATAGCTTTTCACTAAAAACTAAGATACTTGCAATAAATGTAATTTCTATCATATTGTAAAAGTTGATATTTTTACATGTGGTTGCATTACTGTTAAGTTTATCCAATTAACCCTAAGTACCATAGCTTAATGTCCTTACTCATCCTTTGAAGAAATACTTGAAGATGTTTTCTTAGCAGCTGGAAACAGTTTTAAAGTCATTCCTCTTCTTTCTTAAATTCACATTTTATTTGACTTCACTAAAGAATATTAACCCAATGTTAATAGTTTAACATTATTAACCTTTACTGTTATAAGTTAATTATATACATATTAATGTAATGTGTATATATTAATATTAATGTAATATAATGTTATATGTTAATAATGTTAACCTCCTAACATTAGGTTAATAGGTTACTATTTCTATGTTTTAGAGTCTACTATTGACCATTCTGTCATAATTTTTACCCCTAGCATATAAGCCTATAAATTTGAATTTTTTGACTTCTAGTGACTTTAAGATTTTAAATATTCAAAATTTTGATTGAGTTTATTACTAGTTATTATTACTAATGCTCACTTGATCAAAACTCAAGCTCACACATTAAACTGTCTCTACATATAGGTGGCTCATTCTTCAT